TGACCTAAAGTGAGAGTGTAGAAAAGGAGGATAAGCGGTGAAAGAGGAGAACTCTAATACTAAACCAAGATCTGAAGTTCCTGATACAAACCTGCTTAGCAGCTTGCTCGGACGAAGGAAATACAGGAGGTTTGTTTAGTCCCAGAGGCGATTGCTGATCAGAAGCCAGTCTCTCACGATCGTAGTCGACCGAAATGCGGTTTTCACGTGGGGTTGGAACCGTATCTTCGGTGGGAGTTTCGAGGCCTGGTTGGTAATTCTGGGGCAGGGGACACAGACAGACAGAAACTATTAAATAGTGCACAAGCAGTCGGTTTCTTCGGTGGAAGGGTGATTTTAAGCTCATTGATTTCACAGGAAACGATATATGTGGTGAGTAAGGCTTTATATCAACCTGAGGCCAAAGCGCGTCATTCACCTACTAAATGAACCTTCATCAACTATTTTTGTGCGCCTAGTAGGCAGCTGGTGGATTCTACTTTGATTGTTTAGGAAATCCTGCTTGGACAGTCAGCTTACTGTATCAGAATTGGCGAATTCCATAATTTGCACTATGCAAGTCGAGTAACCTGACTCCAGTGTGCTTAAGCTTACACCTCCCGGTCAGGTTTGGTAGTTCAGATGGTTAGGGCGTTGAATGTACTAAAGCCTTTTCTTTGCTATCACGCGTTGGAATCCCACCGAGGCCGCCGAAGTTTTTTGTAATCAGGCCAAATTAAATTTTTAAGTGCTGCTTCAAATAAAATGAATGAAAAGATAACTGCATATGGTCAGATGCCGACGCGGATAGGGTGCACGAATAGTCTTAAAACACTGCTTATTCTTTATGCCACATCTAGCCTGATTTTTCAAAGGTCAGGTTAAAAAACCACAGGATCTATCTTATTTGCCTAAAATATATAAATATCGGAAGCTTTTTTATCCCGTATGGTTGATTCTATTCGCCAAAAAATAACCATGACCAAAGAAAACAGTGTTCTCTCAATCTTTTATTTACTTTAAAGTTCATTCTGTGCAGTAGTTATAAAATGGCGCAATGGCAAAAGGTTTACCTGGAGAAAAATGAGGTAAACAGACTGCGGCTCGGCGACAGAAGAAAAAGAGAGAAATTGGTTAGAGACTTCGAATTAATTAAGTCGTAACACCTGCGGGAGAATAATATTTGAACGTCCTCGTTATTAATGCACTTTGCACAGTACCAGATGATCATTAAGTAGGGGATATACTGGGTCCAATACCAAAGTCATTTACGTAGCCAAGGGCCTTCTTAGAAAGAGGAAATTAGAGTAGATAGCGTTGATTTTAAATATTCAAAATGAACATATTGAAAGAGTAAAGCCTGTGTGAAAAACAGGACCAACCGCAAATCGGAAACCCCAGGTGGAGCA